TCTTGGGTATCTTCCGCCCTGGTACTCATATCCACTTCCTCTGTCTGGGCTGCGAAAACTTCGCTCATATGTGACTCGGCCGGAATGACTTTTTTTTGCCCCCCCCCTGTAGATATCGATCTAGCTCCGCAAGCGTCTACCAGCTACCCGCCGTCTCGAAAGTGGAGAGTATGGGGAGGGCAGCAGAATTTTGGTGGAGAGTATGGCGCGCTACTAGGGTAGCAGACAGCTGGTACCTTCCTATCGCATACGCTCTACCAGCAATCTGCTGCTCGTCGTTGGTGGACGCTGGCAGACGCTGGAGTGCCGTTTAGACTCCAGAACTTTCGGCACCGAGCTCATTTTCAGATTGCCTAAGTCACCAAATCCGCTAAAAACTTGTATATAGGGGTAGTTTAACATCCTGATTACGAATATGACATTCACTCTTGTCGCTGGCGCTAATGGATGACACTACGATTATCTGCGCTCTGCTAAGGCTGAGCCCAGGAGGTAATCGTAGTGTCCTCTCTTGGGGCGCCAGCGACAAGAGTGAATGTCTTCGTAATCAGGATGTTAAACTATCCCTGTATATAAGTTTTTAGCGGATTTGGTGACTTAGGCAATTTAAAAATGGGCTCGATGCCGAAATTTCTGGATTCCTAACGGCATTAGCCGCAGACGCTAAAACGAACGAGCTACGCTTTAGCTGTCCTGGACGCCCGGAATCGGACTTGGTGTGCCGCTACCGCAAAGAATGAACGCAGCCTTAAATCAGACTACTATTTGCTCCAGAGATTCTGCGCCTCATTATCATGTTTGTATATGGAAGCTCTCAAACAGCCACAGACAGAAAGTGGCTGTCGATCAGATTCAAAGCACCACAAATTTGAGAATAGTTTTCTCGTGCTGTCATAATTTTTCTTGCCAAGAAATCGTGCCACGTCCTTTAAGTGGTGTGGCTTCCAGTGAGGTATTGCATGGTTTTGGGAGCAGGTAATAACGATAAAAGTACCGCGCGCATCGAACTATGACTAGATTGAAGGATAAACAGATGACCACAAGAGAGATTTTGTTTTTCGCTGCGCCAAACAGGAAAGGGGTCATCAGGAGTGAAAGATTCTAGTCCGTTCCAACTTCAGAATCCGAGCCCAGTCCCAGTTTTTGAAATAGAATATAGCTGTGACTGCATTACAAGAACTTCCAATTTCAGAACTCCGAATGTTTACTCCGTACTTAATCGATTTAATTCTCACTGTAATTATAGTGTCTTCGTTATCTTTAGAGGTGAGAATTTACGCATTCGAATTTTCGCTCCATATTTCATTTTGATCCTTGACGTCAGCTGTGAAACTCCTTCTTGTCCCCTGGCGGAACGAGTTATGCCGAGAAAGTGTTACATATAGTGAGAACTTCAAGCTCTTCCCTTTGTACCTCTTCCGTTGAGGATTCCTCAACGGAGGGGTCTATTTGACCAGTCAATAGAGGGGGAAATCGCACTCCGAGGAGTCGGTCGCCAACAAAATTGTAGCGGGGTTATTGCCAGACAGGAAAAGGTTAGAGCTAGTGAAGTGTTACGGCTAACCCAATTTAGTGAGTTTTTTATCAATCATGCTTTCTGGATTGAACTGGAATTGTAAAACGAAAATTGCAATGATATCAAAAAGACAAGATCTCGTGGTTTCGATGCTTAAGCTCGACCTTCTTTTCGGAGGTGTGTAGTGGCAAGTGGCATACCACGCGCACGGCCGGGGACCAAATCCTTTTCCGCTGAGGCCATTCGGGCCTCTACCCTCTAGAAACGGTAAACTAATAACAGTTTCGTCTGGGAAGATAAGAACACTGACTTGTGCATCAGCTAACGATTCATTGTATAGGCCACATGGCATTCAATAAGCCACTACGATTCTGAATGGAAGTAGAATGCGTGCTTCATCTCCCAAAGGGGTTGAATAACAGTGAAGACTTATCCTGTTTAAAAATAGGAAAAATCCTCAACAGCGTACTTTTATGAATAATGGACTTTTATCAACGATTCAATGCTTATGAGAAGGAAAAATCCTCCACTTCCCAGCTGATACTCTCTTTGTCCTGGGTCCTGTATTATCGAAGTCATGGTCTCTAAAAGGTTAAAACCTGACGCGCTCAAGAAATTTTCATCGGGAATTTCCATGCGAAGCCGAGGGACCTCCTTAGCTTGGTATCTGTTTGATGAAAGCTCCCGAGAAATTACGTATCGCACCTCTCTTTTGACGAAACACTACTGAACGAATCGCAACACCCTGAAAGCTCCAGGGTAACAACCAGTGAAATAGCGCGCTCCAGTGCCGACAGCTGAAAAAAACTAACTGCACTACATCTCTGCAAAATCTGATTTATTACTTCGTTCTCTTCAATTCAGTGAAGGAGAGGGCGACGTATCGACACCCGCTTCTGGGGGAGTCTTATCAACGGGCCAATATTTCTCAACCTGATGCTTTACTTTTCCGTGGATACCACGCACACGCTCGGGAGTCAAACAACGGATGGCTTGTTAACAAAGTAACCGAGATTTATGTCCTCCGAGGCCTGTGATTTCGCACCAGTTTGGTGTGGAGGGGCAAAAACCCTAACTTTCGGCTGTATGGGATAGCCTTCAGTAAGTTACTGTGACTCGGATTGGAAGTATTATGAGTACCACATCCCAAGAATGATCAACGGCGGAAGTCTCTGGTTATGAATTTTATGTACCTTTGGACCAGAGACGGTTGAAAAACACGAGATAGCCGACGCTAGGCAGGAGTCGCAATGGAAGGGCATGGCGAAGGTATACCAGGCGGCCATTTATCGTTACTATTTGTTAACCCTCTCTATGAGTGACGTAGTAGTTCCATACAAAGAGTATGAAGGAACTTCATCATTGCTCCCCTCAGCTACTTTTGTGCCGTTATTTTTACAATCCAAAACTTCTAGTGCACTACAAAAAAGCAAAAGCGCAAACCACCCGAGGAGTCACCTTTCCGGAGCAATCGTGAGTAATTACAAGTTTTCGAAAAACGTTACTCAACTCTTATCAAATTGAAGGCTTTTATTTCCTTCTGACAATAATCTGCATTTGTGTAAACATTAGGCTGCGTTCATACTCTACGGCAGCGCGCAACCACAACCTGCAGCCGTGGAATCCGCCTTTACTTCTGAGTACGAGAATAAGACCTACCAATGGGGCATGATCCGTTTTATAGGAAAAAAATTGTAGGTGCCCAATGACTGTGTAGTAGTTTCATTTCGCTGTCACATGAGCGCTCACCGTTTGACTTTGCCGTTGCTGCTGCAGATCACGGGTCCTTAGGCTGCTGCGGCGTCCCAGCGCTTCGAACGTCCGGCATCGAGCAGCACTGGGAAAGTGCATATATCGATCTATTGTCTGCCAGCATCTACCACAGCCAATCGTCGTCTCGCGCACGTGGGAAGCATAGTCATCGATCTAGCGGTTACCAGCGTCTGCCAGCCTCCACCAGCTACCATCAGCGTCCGGAAGTGGGAAGTATGGCGCAATAGGAGGGTAGCAGACAGGCGGTAGAGTATGGAGAGATAGGAAGGTAGCGGACTGCTGTTAGAGAGTATGGGCGACTAACAGGGTGGCTGATCGCTGGTGAAGAGTATGGAGCAATGGGAAGGTAGCAGACAGCTGATACCCTCCTATCGCCCCATACTCTATGCCAGCAGCCTACTGCTGGTCCCTGGTGGACGCTGGCAGACTGGATTGATATCTGTACTTCCTTAGTCGCTGACTCTGCCGGACGCTGCGAACGGTGGTGGAGGCTGCCACAAGGTATGTATGAAGGCAGCCTGCGAAGCAAGCGAGGATCTGAACGAACGAAGCTACGAAGGTTCTTAACGGTATATAGCTGATGTCGTTGCAAAATGCTTAGATTTAAGAAATTTGAAAACGTGGCGGGGACTTATTCAAGGACTCCGGCAATAAACAGCTTTTCTTAGCCCTAACTAGTTGAAGTTATATTGAGAGACAAGCATTCTTGAGTATTTCAGAAAAGAACAAGCGCAAAGTTAGTACTTCAGCGGAATCGTTGAGCAGGAAAAGATCCATGGCCGTTTCGAAACCAAAAACTGAAAATAAGTCAGGTAGGACCAGTGAGGTCGGGTTTCGGGCACCTGCGGATAGGTTCACGGTTTGTACACGATTGTCATAGTTATTGCTGTCTTCGGGGTGTAATTCAGCTTTCATCATATCCGAAGCGCTACTAGGAGTCGAAAAGGTTTGCAAATGGTGTTACTCGCTCGGCATTTGCATCAGTAACAAGTGATTAGAAGTGGCGACGTTAAAGACAGCAACTCGTACGCGTCCTTCCTTCTACAAGAAGTGTGGCCCTCAGGTCAGTCTGGGATCATCCCACTTTCGCGGCTTGACGCTAGGGGCGAAGCCGACGTTGCCCTCATAAGTGGCATCTCTGACGCCTCCCACGCCACGCCCACCGAAACTCAAAGGCTATTTTCTGTCACAAGCTCGTTTTTACACCACGTTTCCCGTTTTTGTTTCACTGCCAGATTGGTACTGGTACGGTATTGAATCACGCGAAGAAACGCCTATTGTGCGAGAAGTGGCAGGATATCGCTTCGCTTGCATACGAGCAGTTCCGGAGACTGTCCAAAGAGGCTGCTACTTAGGGTGTTCTCCAAGGCTCGTTTCCCTCTTTTTTTTCTCTTCCCTGGAGAACCACTTAGTGACTAAGTTTTCTATTTGAGCATCACTATCCATAATATACAATCACGGGGTTTGCCTTCAACTGTAAAAAGTTGGTGCCAAAATCTCTCTCAGGTGTCGGCCCTACACTCCAGTTTAGTGAACCAAAAAATGACAAAATGAAGATAGAATACATAACAAGCACATTGAGTTGTAGAGCGGAAAATTGTCTACCACTCAGCATAGAGGATAATGTGAAATCTTCTCAACTTCCGCACAAAATTCCATGTAAGATAAGAACCCCATCACTTATGGGACAATCCAATAGTGAAGAAACCCTCTGTTACCGTGCGCGCGATTTCGCGCCTTAGATATCCTGACCTGCACCCGTGTTTGTGTAACGTCACAGTGCAACTTTCCTACAAGTGTTCTGGTTTGGAGTTATCACTGCCTAGTGAGGCACGAAACGCAGACCTAGTGTTGTATCACTAGGAAATCAACGGCTTAGCTGCGAATTTCGACACTTGGTCGGGGCTTCTACGAAGCCTGTGTGTGTGTTTTGAACTCGATTCGAATGATCAAGTTTTATTTACTCTCAAAGGCATAAGGCACGATAATTTGCTCGAAAATATAGTACTAGCAGGGGACAAAATGACGAAAAATTGAAGTCAAATGGCCAAAAACCTGCGAAAAACTTTTGTTCTTGCACGGCATTAGACGAGCATTTTCGGACGAGTTTCCCGTTAGTATCGTTCTAGGAACCGCTTCGAGCAACCGCTTCGCACGCATGTACTGCTACATCTATGCAGCAACGCTTCATACCAATTGTACTTCATAAATGAAGATTTAAGAGTACCAGCGTCGATGTGACTGTCTGGCCATTTGTAGGCGGGCGGTTGCGGTGGGCGTCTGGGTGGGTATGTTGCAGCACGGTCGGGCGCTAAGATTGGCGCTTCGCACGAAAAGGTGTCGGGCATCGCCCGCTGGGAGACAGAATTTTTTCTTGCTAGGCATATCTGCCCTGTACGCGTTGTCGATTCACTGTGCCAATTGCCTTTGGGATTATTCTTTAATGAATGCGTTCTGGGACAACCAGATTGTATCGTATCAGTTGTCGACTGATCCTAAGCTTTACAGATGATTCGAAGGAACAAATTAACGACGATCAGCTTGAGACCTGTCGTGGTCCTGCGGTGGTATTCGATGTTAGCCATATAATAACACAAAAAACAATGGTGGGTGATGTCTTTTCGTAACATACGAATTATTTTGTCGATCTCCTTGGCTGCTTTTTCGGATGGAGAGTAAGAAAATTGAGTAATAAAAACACTTTGTAGAAAGGCCTTACGTATAGTGGAAGGATGACTTTAAAAACACGGGAGTCTGCTTTGCAACCGCAACACTTTACCAGTTGAAGCGGCGGAACCAGCTGTTTTCATTTTATTTATCGGTGACCGCCTTCCGCAGCCAGCTAGGAAGGTAGCTGGTACTTAACGGATATGTTGCTGGCGGATGGATGAAAAAGTTGTCTCTACGGCGCCAATTTATTTTTCAAACTAATGTTTAGTCAAGAATTCAACATCTTTCCCTGGGAAAGAAAATGTTGCCCATTGAATGCTTCCGAAAAGAGCAGTTAGCTAATCTCATCGATTCATAGGAATTGAGTATAGTCGTGACCCCTGCAAACGATAGGGATGGTGAGGAGGCGTTAATTGGAGCGCATCCAGAGAACCTTTTCCGCCAATAGTTCCGCAATCAGAAGTATCGCTGGCAGAGCACATCATTAGTTGGGGATTTTGGTCGGGTCCGTTCTACCCCTCCCCTAGAAGATGGCTTGATACAACTCCTTTACAGGTTCCCTCCTCTGACACCATCGTGCAGAACGTGAAAATACTACCCCGCCCCTCACCGTTGGGGATCCCCAAACGATCATGTACGCTGCTGTACAGAATTTTGGCGGCTGCACTAACTAGGTTGGCGGGGTGGGTGTAGCACATGTGAAACGGAAAAACCGCGAAAAGTCAACAATCAGGAAATTGTTTTCCAACGCAGCAGCATATTTTATCCGCAAAGGCAGATACGAAACAGCCCCTTCCTTATAGCGTCCGTGATGCAAGGAAATCTGACTATCTAAAAAATTCTTCAGGCCAAACACGACCTCTCTCTTTCCCTAGCGACGAATTACGACCCCTCTGTGGAGATTCCTCAACGTATGACGTGCCGCTGGATGGGGAAGGCAGTCCAATGCCATGCCAATTCCCTCGGGTCATCACGCCCTAATTGTTTTACATGGATATTATTGTATGCACTAGTCACTAGCGGGCTGCTTAAAATAAACTCGCAGGCTTGGGCTGACGCGCACTACTGCGCGGCATGGTTGAATCCTATGTAATGGTACTAAGTCGCTTGACGACAGTTTCTGTCCTGACCCAAACACTTGACCAGATTGTCATTTTTTTAGATACCGTCCCATTTCATTATATTTATTTTAATGACGACATTTTTCTCAATGTCTCTGCTTATCACCATTTCTAAAAAAAACATATCAACCCATTTGGCGTTGGAATTAGGAAAGCGTAGCAGTTGAAAGAGTTCAAGGTAATAACATATGCACATCATATGGAAATCCTCACACAGTCGGCATCGCCCGCGCTAACGCGACTCTCCTCCTTTTAAGAGCCCGGCTTCGCCGGGCTCATGCGCAACTGCTCTGAGGCTCACTTCTTAGCTCGTGAAAGAAAGGAGCAAAGTAAGGCATAAGCAGGGCGATACTACTGTCTTAGGCATTCATGATGCTCTCATGGTGACTAACCGCTGTCTTCTAATCGGATAAATGTAGAAAGGCGCATTTCAGCATTCGCATTCTAGACTTAAATAGCGGGAGCGATTCACAATCCAAACAACTTCTTAGTTCGTTGCTGTAACATGGATTAGCTTGCAGTTTTGCTAGCGGTTCTTTCCTTCTCTCTTGCCGCCTGCTCCTATTCAAGCGTACGCTACGCATCCCCTTACTGTACCCAGTTTGCCCGATTCAATCCATATGCCTCCTTCCCCTGCATGGCTCAGATCCGACTGAGTACGCGCAAGGGAGTGAGGATGGGGAGAAGGGGGTCACTCGATACTAACTCCCACCTTCCTCATCTCACCCCATTTCGTACTCGCCACTCCATCCCCCCCCACCACCTTGCTCCTTGCACGCACTTACGTCCAACTGCCACGCGAGCAACCCGTGCAATGGCTCGGAGTGTAGTGGTTTTCTTATGTCGTGGAGAGTGTTATCACATCCAAAACAACTTCTTAGTTCGTTACGGTAACATAGAATGGCTTGCAGTTTTGTTAGCGGTTGTTTCCTCATCCCTTGTTCAACTCATCCCTTGGTGCGCGTTTCTACTGAAACGCGCGCTACGCACCCCTCACTGTACCCCCCTCCCCGCGACCCCTTCACTCTGCCTCCTCCCATACATGTGCCCAGCTCCGGCTGAGCACGTGCAGGAGAGGGAGCGGGCCACCCCACCCTGCCCCCGCACGAGCACACGTCCAGCTGCCACGGCAGCAGCTCGTGCAATGGCTCGGAGTGTACCGAATGGTTGTCTTATATAGCGGAGGCTGTTATCACAATCAAATCATTGGATTGCTACATCCTCCCAATCCGGTTACCGGTTTGCCTAGCGGTCGTTTTCTCCTCCAGCGAACTCGAACCCGTGAAGTATTGTGCGGACGGACAGACAAACATACATACCTACAAACCTACATACAAACATACAAACCGACACACAAAGTTACTGGTTTATAGGTATGACTTATCGCAGTACACTATAGTTCTCTGCGGACGGTTGGGCGTGTCAGCCAGTATGAGTGTGTCACCCTATCAAAGCCGTTCTCTGCCTTCTTGTTGAAGAGCGTCTGCGACAAAAAGTGGTAGAAGACTAGTAATACGAAGGATATGATACAGTATTGTCACTTGCCCGCTTCAACAACTGGTGGAGAACGAGTTTGGCACCGCGCCAAACGCAGCCGCACTGACACGCCCAACCGTCCGGCAGCGACTCGTAACTTCGTTAAAGCAGCTTGCAGAGCTTTTCATTTTGTCGAAACTCGAGACGTTCAGCGGTCGAACTAGTCCCAACATATCGCCTAATAAGATGATAAAATACTTGAAACTCACTACACCTTTGCCCATTGTTCTTGGAAACCGCGGTCAAGTTCAGGCTGAACCGAAGCCTGCGAACAGGTACTGATGCTTATAAGCTCTCTTCTCACACTATATACAACTTATATCCCTCCACCAATGCTCTGTAACCTCTTCTGAATGACTTGCTGGAAGCAGTTCCCCAGTGTTGCTACAACTCGTGCCATGAACTTCGGGGGCATCCTCTACCGTCCTGCCACCAATAATGATGTCCCATCCTGACCCCTATCTAACTTCGTAGAACCAACGTCCCATCGCTGCTGTGGCCCGCGCTACAAAATTGGCGACACTCCCTTTCTGAGGCCCCTTATGATATCTTATCAGCTGTTATCACGGCCTGTCACCCACCAATAATGTTCCCATCCTGCCCCCTACATCACTTATCAGTTTGAGCGCTCCATCGCCCTCTTTTGAAGGAAGTTATGAATTTCCGGTCAAACACACATACAGACAAACAGTTTACACATTACTACACACACCAACAGACAACACTTTAGCGGATTATATATTTGTAGATGCTTTATTGTTGTTATAGTATAAGGATGTTTATGTATTATATAAGTTAGGATGTTCTTAATGTAATTCAAATCCCCTGAGACGAATTTGGAGAGTACGTGAAAGTGGTCTATTGTCAGTAGGTCTGAATGAGACAGCTCTACGTCCCTGCAATGCTCTTTCCCACCGTTACCGTTTCTTACAGAACTTACCAGGGAAGTCCGCCAACTTACCATGGAACTTTGAATGGAGACCTGGGTTGATCGAAAGAGTATGTAAGGTTATTTACAAATACAAGATAGCAAAAGTGCAACCTCCATTTCTCAGGCAACATAATGAGCAGCGTAAAATTGGTTTGTAATGGTTGCAGTAGGGTGAGGCTTGGTGGTGAGCTGTGAAGCATAAGCGAGGAATCGCATACGTCGAATCGAGTCGTCGAACGTCGAACCTTACCACTGAACCACCACGACTCGATTCGACGTATGCGATTCCTCGCTTATGCTTCACAGCTTACACTAAAGCCTCCACCGCAACTGCCACATTACAAACTTCACCGTGCTCATAAGCCGCTTAGTGAAATGCAGGTCGCGAGTTTTGCTATCTATATTTGTTAATAACCTTGTAGACTCTATCGATCTACCCAGGTCTCCATCCAAAGTTTCATGGTAAGTTGGCGGACTTCCCTGGTTAGTAAATAGAAATCACAGATTTCTTTTTATTATGAAAAACATTTACTAGGGGGGGGGCCAAAAAAAAGACATTTCGACCGAGTCACATATCAGCAAAGTTTTCGCTGCCCAGAGAGAAGACGTGGATACGGTACCAGGGCGAAAGATACCCAAGATGTTCCTCTATAAGCAGGAGCTGGCTCTCGCCCATCGCCTTCATGTACACCAAAATATGAAGTCATCTCCAGCCGCAACCTGACTGGGGAAGGCCTTCGGAATTCATGTCACCTCCGAACAGCTGCGAAACTTCTAGTATGGAGTCACCCATAAATAGCTACCTGGAGAGCAGTACTCTCGATCTGGAAGACCTCCATCATCGAGCAGCTCCGTCAACGTCGCTACGGTCTAGGACATCATCTTCACCTCAGTCGCCAAGGCGCCAGTTGATGGTGGGTACCGGACGTACCTGGAATGGAGAGACCGATATTTTCTTCGTGGGCCCCGGACTAAAGGTGAGCGCTGGCGGTTACATCGAGCAACTCGAGAAGAATATCCTCTCCACATGCCGTCGCCCGTACCTTCTCGGAAACTTTGTACTGCTACAGGATTGGGTGACACCACATGGAATCAAAGGGCGTTGGGAAAACTCTTGCCTACTTGGAATGGAAGGGCGTTGAGTACCTGAATAAGGTGGAATATCTAAGCAGGTAACCTGACCTAAACCCCTCAATTACCTGTTCGGGGAGTTCAATAGGGTGGTCTACAGTGGCGGAGAAATCAACGATCTCGCTGAACTCACGCACCCACTGACGGTCGCGTGGCAGAATCTCTCGATGGCGCTCCTCCAGAAGGCTGTGGCGGAGTATCATGATAGTATTTAATACGCTCTTTAATATGGTGGTAGAAATGTCCGATAAAAATTTACTAAAGTGTAACTTATAGCGCCTCGAAAATCGAGGAAGAAAAAAGTCTTTTTTTATGCCCCCCCCCTGTTATATTAGAATGAGGTGATGAAGGTCGGGTTTTGTTTCCAAAGTGAACTCTTCTAGCACCGTACTGATCCTGCAAAACTATAAAAAGCCAAACACGCTTCAACTGCGACCTCCGTTCCTGGCAGCATGTTCACCCCTGGCTAAACGCTCCCCATCCTCAGATTCTAGTTCGTCATGCCCCCCCCCCCCTCATCGAACTTAAGTTGCAGCGTATTCGAAAGCGCAAACTACAAGTGTTGGCAAAGTATCGGGAGCGCCGCTTGACAGGCGCTGCGCGGACGGCCGTTCAGTGTAAATGGGACCGGGGTATGGTAACGGCCGTGACGCCGTGGTCTGCCTACGCTCAGTCTGCTCTTCAGGCGGAGTAGGGAAGAATAAGCCTATTCCCATCCTGGATCCCGATCCCGCATATGTTTCGACAGGGAAAATCGCCACGCTTTGACAGCTGGGGCCCGTTAGCCCCGGACATGCCAAGGATACACCTCACAACTGAGCGTGCGTTGTGTCTTCCAACATCTGGGGTCACATTCAATAAGTATGCAAGCTGACCTCTTAATAAAAATTTTGGAAATTACCGTTGAGAACACTGTAGTCGAGAACGTGAACCAAACTATACATATTGACAATAGTAATTTTGAATTTCAATGTTTAAGGTTTCACCACCTAAGACGAACCTCGATTCTCTACGTGAAGAGAACCCACTTGCTAAAGCGTAAGAGTATTTTTGCAGTTTAGCCTTGTCTTGAGGGCACATTCTACTACTATTGCGTAGGTAATATCTAAGTTGCTAATTGAAAAAAACAAATATAAGCATAAAAAAGCACTGCTTAAAAGGAAGTGCGTTATTTACTTTCGCAATTCGTTTTAAACATTGACCAGGCAAGAGTGCGCACACGACATAGACGCGAGATCTAAGCGTGTGGGCGTTTGTATCCGTAACGGGCGGAACGACGGACCGTACGATGACCGGCCCCTGCTCCCTAGGCGCACGGTTCAGTTGACAGATGCACTTTCGAGTGACGGAAGGGTGCTCGGGAAAACTCAGTACACTCAGACGTGCACACTTCCCCTTTGGAATTTGGGCTTTTTTCTAAAAGGCTCACGCAATCTGCCTCCAGATAGCCATCTGATTATCAGCATTGAAATCATGTTCCCTTTGAAGGTACAAGACCAAGAGAATCGAGTCGAAAGAGAAGGTTGAGGAACCGTTCATCGCTCCTGACGAGAAGATCGCCCAATTTTCATTTTATGTAAGTAGTATGTCATCCGCTTCATATTCTTTTGTCACATTTTTTTTTCAGCAAATGGACCGTTCAGAACTGAGAAAGAGAGCTCAATGAGTGGAAATCTGCTTTTGCTTGCATACGATACTTGCTGTGTGATTTTTGTTAAGGGCGTATCGAATCATTCAATGAAAACTCTAAAAAGTTTCAATGTCTTACTTCGTACGTGTATGGCACTTGAAGGTTAATTTCTTGACTTTCCTCCGGTGTTATCCGTTACCAATGAAGCCCCCCATTGATTTCGATATGTTGCAGGAATCTGAAATATATCGAAACTCATGAAAACTATCTACCCTGTTCAACCTAAACTCGTTCTTAACTAGTTGCAACTCAGACCAAGGGGCTACCCACGAAAGGAAACTCATACCAGGTTACCTCTTCACTCCCATCAACACCGACGATCTGCTCAATTTTGCCACAATGGAGCAAGTGAGACCAGGGGGGCGTATTTGCCGCCAGGAGAGGGGGTCGTATTTGAGCCGAAAGGGAACTCTGTCTCTCAAGATCTTTTATAGTTGATGTTCCCGCTTCACGGACATTAAAAAGGGGGGGTCGTAGCTGCCATTGGTTGGTGTGTGACAACAGGTACGTAATTTTGCCGCCTCTCTGCGCCGTCGCGTCGACACTCGCCCGCAAAGGACGATGGTTCAGGCAGTAGATGGCGACAACATGCAATTAAGGACCGAAAACAGTAATGAGTGTCTACGATGACGGGGTCTACATGAAGTCCGGTGCTCCATTCGACAGGTTAAAACGAGTTATGAAAGCCGCCGCGCCCATCGCCGCTCGTGGCGGTGCGGCGAATTACGATTCCTCTTTACCGTCTCCTCTCATTGTTAGGAGGAGAGGTCGTATTTACTTTCTGGCCTTTTGTAGGTGTAAGTGGAAGTGGTGGTTGACTTTCCGTGATTTCTGTTTCATACCTGCATTCCCCCCACCCGCTCGACAGCAACTTTTGGGAATCAGCCGGAAGCTTTCAGGAAATTTTCGGGAAAAGTAGCAGAATTTGGGGAAATCTTGAATTTGGTGTAGAAGAGGGAGGTCGTATTGTCTCGCGTCTTCTCCTGTCTATCACCTATGTGCCTATCACACTTTCCTTCAACCACTGAGGGCAGCGTTCGGACTTCGCGCATGCGCATATACTTGGTCGCGCGTTCGACGCGATCGATGTGTCGAAAACATGCACATCGATCGTGCCGACAGCGCGACCGAAGCGCTGCCGTCGCAAAGTGTGAACCGTGCGTGATGTGCTCTGAGTGAGACTGACCGAGCACTGCTGATAGTATGCGTACGTGCAGTGCATCATGTTCTCACTGTTAAAGCTCACACAGTGGAATATAGGGCAAGAAATCGGCCGTTATTGAGATGCACTCATTCCTGTTATTCATACATGGATTACGGTGCTTAATCCAGAACGCCTCAAGGGTTTTCCGGGCACCAACATCGTTTTCGTAGGCCAGTATTATGCATTTAACGCTACACGCGTGGTGCTTTATTTTATGCCTGCCGAGGGTGCAATCAAACTTTCCCTTCGCTTGCTTGCTAGATGTTCTTTCACGCGTATGCCTAATGCCCTCCCAGTTTCACCAATATATAATGCGCCACACGTTAAACACTCGATTTGGTGAAACGACAGCCCTTTGTTACAGTCACCAATTTTGCCATACGGACAGATACGCAGTTCTCCGTGGTGCATATTCGGTCATAGAGGCGATTTCTGACCAATTGGTGTTTGATATTGTCCCTTGGTGTGTTTACCAAAAGAACATCGTTGGTCAAATCGGCTCTTCGGAGGCACTGTTGTATAACTGCGGTGAAGCGGTCCGATATGAACGGTAGCTGAAGATACAGCTTGTTTTCAGCTCTATGTGGAAAAGGCCTCGCTGTGTTTCGCGTACTCCGTTGTTGCCAGGCTGTGTAACCATTAAGACTAGCTATCTGAGTGGCTAGTCCCCTGGATTCTTCTCGCTCCTCGTTGCCGGTGATTACTGTGGCTGTGATTTTAGCGTTAAAGGCAGCGCCCACGTTCATTTGATGTTCCTACGCCCTCCTTAGATATCGTAGCTTTGTCGACAAGGGTGGAGGATGTACTAATTTCGCAGCTCAAAAATACGAGAGGATGGCGCCACCCGCTTGTGAAGAGGATGCCGCCCCGCCCACCTGGCTGCCATAACTGCTTTGGCTTAGCCTTTAAAGGCTGAGCCCGCTTTCAAGAATAATGAGTTATGGAGCTCATATAATACGTGATCCAGTAGTGAAGAAAAAAAAAGCAGAAAAAAATCATGGAAAATGCCCTATATAGAACCCTATGCTGGCCAGGTGGGCGGGGCGGCCGACTCTTCACTAGCGAAGGGCTATCCTGTCGCCTTTTTTTGAGTATGCAAAACAGTACAATACTTCGTCCTTATAGGAGGTATCTCAAGGAATGCCGGAAGGGCAGGTGCGGAACAGTCATATGAAGTGGCCGTGCTTCCTCAAAGCATAATACTGCCTATGCGAATACTATGCTGGGCCCGGGAAACCCTTGAGGATTCGTGATCCTAAAGCACGAATACACTGCACACTAACGCCTAAAATCATCTACACATGCTCGGCCAGTCCACTTCTCCAATTGTGGCGAAATTGACGCAGTCGATTGGTGTGGTGAGGGTGAAAGCAGGTAATCGAAGTTGAGTTCCTTTCGCGTTAGCAGCCTCTTGTCTGAGTTGCAACTAAGTAAAGAGTGGTTCAGGTCGAACAGGACTGATAGAACTTAAATGCGTTCGATGATCGTCATGAGTTTCGATGCCGCTCCAGGCCCTTTGATACTCGTAGATAGCGTCAAATGTCGAGCAAGATAAATACTTCGCATCACAAACGCTTTACGCATCGTAAAGATACCATTGAGTTATAAATAGAAAGCCCAGGTTACAATGAATGGCGAACATGCACATCTTGAAAATTATTTTACACTAGAAAAACACGAGGTTAATGTCTGACAAAGGGGTAGAAGGGCAGCTTTAGTGGAACTGATGAAGACAAGTACGTTGGACCTTGAGCCTTGCGCACTTTCAGAATGAAGTACTTGCTAGTTCTAAGTTGTCAGCTCTATGTTCCATTCTGGAATGGCTTCAACATTCTAGCACAGGAGCACGTACTTTGACCCGTGATGTCTCTCCTTCAGAGAGGTCGTACCCATTGGTTTTCTCGTTTATGATCGTGGAAGTGAATGGTGGACTTCAAAATTAGGCTTTGTACTTGTTGATTACACCAAGGCCACTACGACCTCTTACTTTCGATAGTGCTCTAGATGAAAAACGCTATCCGCCCCTTGGGAGCTTTTTATCTTTCAGGCGTTTTGGGAGAGGAATAACAATTTTTTGCGCATGCACTTACTTGGAACTTTCAAACGAATCTGGGATTTTTGGCCCATCAGGGACGCCCTTGCTATCATTCTTTTCACGCCTGCGTATTCTTCGGACTCTCGGTCTCTGGATTATTCTATGCCCAATTATTATGTACCTTCAGAAGGAGGCATCGCTATGATGAGTACTGCGCTGAGAGACTCTTTCATTATGTAAATACTGCACATTTCTGCCAGTTTTCGGTCTCTTGTGGCTGTCTCGGGACCAAAAAACAGCAAAGCGCTCTACATGTTAATCACATCCGATTCACTGTCTTCGTTTTTCCTCATCACTTCTATCTCAAGGACCACTTCTATACTAGCACGCTTCTCCCACAACTTGACTGCTCCTTCTCAATTTCTAGTATAATTCTCATACCCTGGTTTATGCTCATTATTATCGATTTTCGGGTCCCTTGTTACCTTGGAATAGTGCCAACTACTCCGTAGGGTTCTGTAGGAAAAGGAGGAACGGAAACTTATTCCAAAACGTCTGAGAGTGAGTCTTAAAGGCAGTTGGCACGATAAATCGTATACAGATGTAGGATTTATACGACTGGCTTAACAGAATTCCTGACTCGGCCCAGGGCGCTCCGTGGGCGCCTTCTTCCAAGGAACGGTAGCCTATAAACGCCCTTATTCGAGCAACAACATTCGGTTCCTGACGCTCGTATTCATTCATTTTTGCTGAGCAAACTTAGGTGTAGCGAAGCGGATTGGTATGAAGCGGCGCGCGTGCATGCTGCATTGCTACATGGTACACATTATGCAGCCCGTATCTCCGCGGGCGGTGGTAATTTCATGCGTACGGGAAACTCGTCCCGAAATCGATTTTTTAGTCAGAGAGAACGAAGGCTTTTTCTGCGCCGGATTTGGACCGTTTCACTCCATTCTTTCGCCATTTCCCCTCTACATACAGGGGGCTGGGGGGGGGCAAAAAAAAAAGTCATTTTGCCTCCATGACTTTCAAGGCGCTATAAGTTACACTTTATTAAATTTTTATCGGACATTTTTACTACCATATTAAAGAGCACATTAAATACTATAATGATACTCCGCCACAGCCTTCTGGAGGAGCGCCATCGAGAGATTCGGCCGCGCGAAAGTGAGTGGGTACCGGAGTTGAGCGAGATCGTTGATTTCTCCGCCACTGTAGACCACCCTGTTGAGCTCCGCCCGAACTAGGTAATTGAGTGGATTCAGGTCAGGGGACATACTTCAATATTATATCTTCTCAGGGTACGAAACGCCCTTCCATTCGAAGTAGGCGGGAGTTTTTCCAAAACCCTTCGATTCCATGTGGTGGCACCCAAACCTGTAGCAGCACAAGGTCTCCAAGAAGGTACGGGCGACCACATGTAGGGAGGATATCCTTCTCGAGTTACTTGATGTAACCGCCAGCGCTCACCTTCAGTCGGGGTCTACAAAGAAAATATCGGTCTTCCCATTCCAGGTACCCCGGTCCATACCATCAACTCGCCGCTTTTGCCGTGAATGGGGTGAGATGCATGTCCTGGACCGTAGCGAAAGTTGCGGCAGGCCCTGCTCGATGCTTGAGGTCTTGCACATCAAGAAGTACCTGGGTTTCCAAGTATCTTATCCAATGCCGGGTGATTCCATTCAAGAAGTTCCGCAGCTGTTTGGAGGCCACGTGAATTCCAAAGGCGTTCTCCAC